AAATCATGCATGTTAACAATTGATACTTTTTGTACTCGCACGATTTTTGAATTGTTGATTGCTGCAACAATACACTATCGTATTCCTTCGCAAGTGCCTTTTGAATTACGTTGCGGATGTCGAGTAATCGCAACGTTAGGGCACAAATATAAATGCGAGGAAGTATTAGGATATGTGTATACGCTAGTTCAATCAAAATAGAGCACCAACAAATTGGCGAGCCCGACAGAGCTGATTGATGGACTACAGCATTTCGAAGTATACACAATGGAATAAATCATCTTTGCCATCGCATTAACTTTTATAACTTCATAACATTTGGATGTATAACTACTGATATTTCTGCTAAAATTACCTCCGGACCTGGCGGCACAGCAACTGCTATCCCAGTTCACTCTGATAGTCAAGCAGCTGGCTGTTATGCAACACCTCAATTCCAGTTCTCTGTCCTCAAGCTTCAGCATTGTCTACAGGTGTGCAAACACTCTTACAATGGTCTGCAACTCCATTTACTCAAGCCGGTCCTACAACTGTTCAATTACAACAGTTTACCCAATCACCTCAACAACAACAGATTCAAGCACAAGCTCATCAGTTACAACCAGCTCAACAGCAAACTTATATCCAACAACATCAGCAACAACCAACAATGATGGCAACTGACGCCTCTGTCAGTGGTCAACCTGGTACTGTAGCTGCATGCTCCGATGTTACTCCCCAGTTTATCACTCTGGCACCAGGAGCTCCATTAAAAGTCATGGCTGTTGGTCCTAACGGTCAGTTGATTCAAATCACTGGTATACCACAGTTTATGCCCATTGCTTCTGCTGGAATGCCTATCAATCAACCAACTTCTACTCTCCAACCTCAGCAAACATCAATTCAAGTTACTCCTCAACGCCGAGTAACAACACCCCAGCAACAACAACAACATACTGACGGACGTTCACTTTCAACCGTATCAGCAGCAGCTACTGCTGCACTCTTCTCTGGCACAGCCATCTCTTCTTGTACAATTCCACTTGTACAACCAGCTGTCATGGAAATAGAGGTAACTGAATGTTTACCCAAACCATTTCCATATTTCTTTATTACTATACTATTAACTGTATGTTAATATATAAATCTATTCTGTAACTCCTTACAATAGCAACCTCATTATTATTCTAATAATAATTTTTCTGCTTTTATTGTTACATGTTGCACAACTTTCTAAACATTTTAGTTCGTTTCAAAGTTGTTAACATTTTCGAATATATACAGTTATAATCGAACCTCAGAAAACTTAAAAGCCTCAATTCGGTTTTCATATTTTTTTTTGTTCTTGTAATTTACAATATCATTCCGAATACAGGTAAACTTCATTTACCTGCATTCTACGGAGGGGCTATTGTAGTGACCCGTTTTATTACTCATAATCGTACTATACTTTCATTGTGTAATTGTACTTTCATATGTTTATTACTCTAAATCATGCATGTTAACAATTGATACTTTTTGTACTCGCACGATTTTTGAATTGTTGATTGCTGCAACAATACACTATCGTATTCCTTCGCAAGTGCCTTTTGAATTACGTTGCGGATGTCGAGTAATCGCAACGTTAGGGCACAAATATAAATGCGAGGAAGTATTAGGATATGTGTATACGCTAGTTCAATCAAAATAGAGCAGCAACAAGTCTTACCAAGACGACATTATAGTTCATAGTCCGAACATCGAATTGCATAATCAACGTCTTTTAAAACTGTTCAGGCGTTTCTGTGAGAAAAATGTTCTTGTTAATCCATCTAAATGTCATTTTACTTTGTCGTCTGTATCATGCTTGGGATATACAGTAGACTCTGAGGGTTTCAGACCTGATGCTAGGCGTTTGGCACCTCTACTTCAAGCACCGTCACCTAATAATGACGTCGTTGAGATCATGGATTGGCACTCTTCAATTTTACTCCAGATTCATTCCCAATTTCACTCAACTGTTATCTCCACTTTTTAATATTGTCTCCAGTAAACAATTTAAGTGGGAACAACAACATGAAGATATCTTGCGAAAAACTTTGGAGTTTCTTAATAAACAAGCTTTCTTAAGACCTTTTTCATCGAAAGATAAGTCCGTTCTCACTACAGATGCTTCTCCTACGGGTATAGCTGCAGTACTTGAGCAAAATGGACAACCTGTTATTTTTATTTCAAGACGTCTAAGTAAGAGTGAACAAGGGTACTCACAAACCCAGAAAGAGGCTCTAGCAGTTGTATGGGCAATAAGACGCTTGCACAAGTATCTCTTTGGTACTAAGTTTCAGACAGTTACTGATTATCAGGCTTTGAAATTCATTTACAACCCAGAAAAATCTTTGAATAGATCATCTGCTGCTATGGTTCAAAGATGGAGTTTAGAACTAAGTGCATATGACTACACTATTGAACACAGATCGGCTAAGGATATACCTCATGCAGACTTTTTATCTCGTTATTCATTATTTGAAAATTCTGCTAATGACACTGATTGTTTGTTAGTCCAGCCGTTACCTGTGGATAGAGTTCGACTTATAAACGATACTCGGAAATATTACGGGTGCATTATAAATGCAACAAAAAGAGGTTGGAATATTCAGTGTAAGCGAAAATTTCCGGACTTTTATAAGCGAAGAGATGAGATTTCAGTCCATCCTGAAGGATTTCTATGTCTGAATGACATAATTATTAT